ACGAAGGGGTCGCCCCAGAGGTCAGAAGCGCCCCTTTCCCCTTACCCGTTCTGCCCTATCCTGTGCAAGTATTTATAGAGCTCTTCCGTGGAGGGGACGGGCCTCCCCTTGGCCTGGTACTGCTTCCGAAGGAGCGAGACGGCCGCCAGGTGGTTGGGGGACAGGATGCCTTCCTCGTGGGCTGGGGGAGAAAGGAGAGGGAGAGGAGGAGGAGGAGGAGGAGGAGGAGGAGGAGAGAGGAAAAGAGGAGGAGGTTGAGAACGAGGAGAGCAGGAGAGAGGAGGAGGGAAGAGGAAAGGAGGACAGGAGAGAGGAGGGGGAAAAAGGAGGAGGAGGAGAGAGGAGGAAGAGGAAGAGGAGGAAGAGGAGGGAAGGAGAGAGGAGGAGGGGGGAGGAGGAGAGAGGAGGAAGAGAAGAGGAGGAGGAGGAGGAGGAAAAAGGAGGAGGAAGAGGAGGGAAGGAGAGGAGAAGGAGGGGAAAGGAGAGGAGGAGGAGGAAGAGGAGAGGAGGAGAAGGAGGGGAGAGGAGAGGGAGGAGGAAGAGGAGGAGAAGGAAGGGAGAGGAGAGAAGAGGTGGAGGAGAAGCAGACAGGAGGAGGAGGAAGAGAAGAGGAGGAAGAGGAGAGGAGAAGGGGGGAGAGGAGAGGGAGGAGGAAGAGGAAGAGGAGGAAGAGGAGAGAGGGGAAGGAGGGGGAGGAGGAGAGAGGAAGAAGAAAAGGAGGAAAAAGGGGGAGGAGGAGAGAGGAGAAAGAGGGGAGAAGAGAGGAGGAGGAAGAGGAGGAAGAAGAAGAAGAGGAGGAAGAGGGAGGACTCAAAAGAGGAAGAGAAAGATGAGGGAGAAGAAGAAGGGGAAGGAAGGAAGGAGAGAGGGAGGAAATGGGAGAGGGGGGAGGAAGAAAAAGAAGCAACCAAAGAGAAAAATAAATGAATCCGGGGGCTCCAAGCGTGGCCAACTGGACCCAACACTCAAGGCCCCTCTGGGACCCAGCCACGCACCCACGTTCTGTCTGGAGGGGCTCACGGGTTCCAGGCTCAAGCAAACCGGTCCGGATTTGGGCAGAGAGACTTTGGTTTTCTGGACGGCGGCGCTGCTGGGTGCCTGGATGCGGATCGTGCTGAACGAGGGCTGCGCCGGATCCCAGAGGGCCGTGGACCGTTCGTGGTAAGACTGGGAGTTACCTGGGGGAGAGAGAGGGGGTGGGGGTGGGGGGAAATCTCCAGGTGAGAAGGAGAAGTGGCCCAAATGGTCATCCTGAGTTGTGGGGTAGCAACTAGAGGAGGGATTTCCAACTTGGCCACTTGGAAGATTTGTGGACTTCAACTCCCAGAATTCCCCAGCATGGGAGGGTTTACCCAGAATTCAGCCTGGAGAGGACAAGAAGAAATGCACCTTTAAAAAAAAAAAAGAAATTGGGAAGCTTTCTTAGTAGATAGCGGGAATGCGGTAGATGTAATATATCTTGATTTGGGCAAAGTGGGGGGAAAAATAACCCATTAAATTAATCAATGAGTTAGAGCCTTGATGGCAAACCTGTGGCAGAGGTGGCACGCACGGCCTTCTGGGTGGATACATGCGCTGGCTGCTCTTCCGGTTTCCGGCGCATGCATGCGCGCCAGCCAGCTGGTTTCTAAGTTTCTGGGGCTCCAGAGCGCGCGAAGACCAGGTGGCCGACATGCATGGGTGCGCCAGAAATCAGAAGACCGGGTGGCTGGCTGGTGCATCCATGCGCATTCGCCATGTGAGAATCAAGAAATGTAGCCTATTGATCGATAAGGTTCAATAAGTCCTGTGGATGATAGAAGGCCCCGGAAGAAAGAGAATAGGAACCAAAGTTTTCAGCTAGGAGGACTTCAAGATTTACCAGAAATATTTGTAATCCTGCTGAAGCGTTACTAACGGTGAAAAAAGCTTTTTTGCAAAGTATGCAAAAGGGAAGAGGACGAGGACGGAGGAGAGAGAAGAGAAAGAGAGGAGGAGGGAGAGAAGGAGAGAAGAGAAAGAGAGGAGGAGAGAAGGAGAGAGGAGAAGGAGAGAGGAGAAGGAGAGAGGAGGAAGAGAAAGAGGAGGAGGAAGAGGAGAGAGAGGAGGAGGAAGAGAGAGGAGGAGGAAGAGGAGAGAAGCGAGGAGGAGGAGGAAGAAAAAGAGGATGAAGAGGAGAGGAGAGAGGAGGAGGAGAGAGGAGATTGAGAAAGAGAGGAGGAGGAAGAGGAGAGAAGCGAGGAGGAGGAGGAAGAAAAAGAGGATGAAGAGGAGAGGAGAGAGGAGGAGGAGAGAGGAGATTGAGAAAGAGAGGAGGAGGAAGAGGAGAGGGGAGCAGAGGAGGAAGAGAAAGAGAGGAGGAGAGAAGGAGAGAGGAGAAGGAGAGAGGAGAAGGAGA